CATTCGCCATGAAGTTTGACAATGGCATTTTGTTTTGCCAACCAAGCTTTTTTATAGGAGACAGTGTACCCATACTGCGATTGTATAGTTGAAATCAATACAACAACAACTATATGAGAACTTGCTTTTACCATGGGCATGATGGCTTGGCATATCACTTCAGAGTCCAAGTTCGGATGATCTTGGTTGACCCCTCCAGCACAACATGTGTGAGGACCGTTGTATACTGTTAGTTCCTATCTGTAGTTTTTTCTCTTCCTTTTCGATACGCGAACCATCCAATTACATCCGTTTTCGCGTCGGGCACAGTAGCATACATATTTTTTTGTCGTGGAGCGGTCGACTCTCGATTGAACTGAATTATGGATATTGTAATTTTTTATAGCCATCATCGCTTCTTCTTTGCTTGAAAACTCCATGCCTAAATATAACTCACCATTATTTATTGATGAGTAATATCCATAGTCACCAAGATGAGGCATATCCACAAATTCTGGCCCATACATTGCACCATAATCAGCTTCATACATGTGTGCTGGAGGGTCAGTTTGTGTCACATTTGCTGAAACTTCATCCATATCATCATCATCATCGGAGTTGAATTGCGGTGATTCTGGGTGAATGAATAGTCCAGTCTCAGCATCATCTGCACCAGGCTCACGAAATGGTTCTTCTGGTGGAGATGATGGTTCCTCTATGCTATCCACATTTAGGTCGAAGAACCTACTACTTGCACACCTTCCCCTTGAACTGGAAGGCATATCGACATTCAGATCGAAAAAGCTCGCAGTCGAATGCCTCCCCCTGGAGCTTGAAGCTATCGTGTCAAATGGAAACTGCACAGATGGTTGCGTCGATGGCATCTCCATATTAAGGTCAAACGGATTTGCAGATGAATGTCTTCCCCTTGAATTGGATGCGATATTGCCATTCGGATTGTTCGTCGACCCACCTCAGTACATATCGTAAAGAGTTGCGAATGAATGTCTCCCCATTATGGCATTAAAATCATTACACATTACTGTCGTCGGGCTGTCAGCTTGATCAACTTGTTCAGCCAGCCCACAGTGGGAGCTTAACGATTGACCCCGAACGACACGCACTTGAATAAAATTTGCATACATCTCAATATCGGCATCTGAATAATTACTTTGAGCTTCAACCATCATTTCAACATCATCATTGTTCAAAAGTTCGAACGCTGTATAAGTTAATGACAACAATGATGTTGAAAATCTGTACTGCAACGACGACATTCTTCTACTACTTCCAATATGAATCTTCCTCGAAATCCTCGTTATCAGCTCCTCAAGAATTATGTTTCTCTTCAATGATATTTTAACACGCTCATTTGATATGAAAACAATGCCGGTTTCATCTTCTCGAATTTCACCATCATAATAAACAATAGCTGAAAGTCGTGCCATTCTTTGAGTTTAAAAGTGCGACAACATTATATCTCCAAAAAAAAACTAAAACAATGCTGATTAAATAAATAATATATGAACGAAAATATAATAGAATAACATTTTTACAATTAAACGTAAATAATTTAAATAATATAATTTTATATTATTACATGTACCGCAAAACTATTTCGACATATATTCCCGCTTTCTAATTTTACAAATACAGAAATTAATTGACAATAATTAGTATAATATTTTTTCAAATAATCTTAATAAACAATAAATATAATAAAAAAATTTATCACAAAACTACCTTATAACGAAAAATCGCATGAACTTCTGAATAAAATATGAGAAAATTGTCAGAATTATTGACTGGTTGACGGAATTGTTGTATTAATTTATAAGTTGAGAGGAGAGATGTGAGGAACTTAACTCGGGGGAGAAGGGTATTTATAGCCGAGAAAAGTTGTAACAATTATACAAGGCGCGGTACCTGCCCCACGCTATATATAATTATAAAGGTCAGGCGCGGCCCCTAACCCGTGCTATACCCTACGTGGCGTAAGGTGCGCCCCAGGGGCCGCGCTATACCCACGTGTAATCCATGTCAGCATAAGGCGTGTCGCAGGGGGCGTCTTACCCCACGTGACGCCAAATCAGCATATAGCGCACTGTAGGGGGGCATGCCTTACTGCAAAATGTGTTAGATCAGGAAATATAGTCTGACATGTGTTAGATCGGTAAATATACTGGTCATCGGTGATTTTTTTGGAAAAACGCCAATCATTACAGCATTGATAGATCAAATTATTGGTGCAATCTGCTTGAACTTCAAGTGCAGGGGCAAAACTTGTTTGAACCCCAAGTTCATTGGTAAGGGAATTCATAAAATCATATTAATTTATTAGTGTTTTAGGGGTTAAGGTTTAATTTTAGGTATGAAGTTTAGGATTTGAGATTTAATGTTTAGGATTTAGAATTTAATATTAGAGTTTAGGGTTTAAATTAAATTCACTAAAATTAATATAATACTGACAAAATTTAAAAATATTATCATACTAATGTTGATTTTGTTTTAGTAATAAAATAAAATTAAATGGAAAGGAAAATAAACTAATAATAAATTTTCTTAATTTGGTAATATATTATTGATACATGGTCATAATATAAGTGGTGGGGATATATAAAGGCATAAAGTGGGTAGAGAAATTCTATTCCTCTAATTATCCCACCTAGAATAAAATTTAATTCGAAAAATTGTTTTTTTTTAATTTCGAATTATTTGAGGCAACTCAAATTATCAAATCGATTTTCATGTTCAAGTCGAGTTGAAATTTAAAAATTTCGAGTTGCTCAAAAAAAAATTGACTATGAATTTTGACAGTTTTTTATTTAATCTATGTTTTCATTATTCATCACTTTATCCTTCATTTGAAGTCTACTTTTAACCAAATTTGAACCATTTGCTCATAAACCATTTTAGAATACAAATGTATTTTCAATTTAGTCTCTCATTTTTTTATAATTTCCTTATTTCTTCAATTCATCATTTATTTTTTGGGTCGGGTCGAGTCGGGTGATGAATATAAAAATTTTCGGATCGGGTCGGATTGGCCGAAATTGACCCAAACCCAACCCATGCCCATCGCTACATACATGTCACTCAATTAAAAAAATTGTTGCAAATAAAATAATATCAATTAAAATTGAAGCAGACGACTAATGTAAAGTTAGTATAATAACAGTAGTCTTTAAATTTTGTGTTATATTAATTCAATATTAGTTTAAAATAATTCAATAAATTTAACCTGAATATTTAAAATTTTCTTTAATATAATATTTTTATGATTCTTTCAAAGAAAACGAGTTCGTTGGATTAAAACTATTTGAATAAATGTACTTTGCCATAAAACAACGAGTTATTGTTAAACTATTATTATACCAGAAAAGTAATATGTTAAAAGCAATTTAGAAGAATAACAAAGACTAAATTGGTAGAATTTTTTAAATATGAAGAGTTAATTTTATAGACTTGTTTCAAACTAGGACCAAATTGATAGAATATATATATATATATATATATATATATATATATGATTTGGAGACCAAAATTGTTACTTATACTAGGTTATATAATTATTCCATAGTCAATGACTTGTTTGTAAGTTTTAGAAGAAAGAACAACTCACTTAAAATGGGACACATAATTGAATGATTTGAACGGTATTTTACCCAATAAAATGCTGAAGGAAAGTGGGGGTTATTTACAAGTTGGAATGTGAATGCATATCACATATAATCATTAGTAAAGCCGATCACTGGTCGAATATGGTTGTTTTTCTTTTTCTCCTGGGTATTTGGTCTGGTTTGTAACAGCTGAGAGGTTGACGCAGGTCAATTAGATATTATTTTATGACCGACTAGGATACAGTGGCAGTGCTAGTATTTGTTTATTTCTTCTAGATTTTGTTTAAAAAACAATGTATTAATTATATTTTGTTCTCATTATATCATGTGCCTTCCATTCCGGGTAAGTGAAACCAGGGTTGCTGCGGCCATTGCAGAAGCTACTCTTCTCCCCGCCTAGTGGTGGACTTCCTCCACAACAACAGGTACCCTATCCTGTCTTCTCTTCCCCTGTGATTTTCTTTCATTCTTCCCTGGAAGTACTTCTGAGTTTTCTTTTCTCAGATTGGCTTTCCATTTTTTTTATCATGAATATTGCTTAGCTGAATCATTGATACAACAACATTAAAACTTATGAATTAAAACCCATAACTTTATCCTCTCTGTTTTTTTTTCCTTCTTTTTTTCCTTACTCATAGATGTTCAGGGTGAATATATATAATATATATATTAGATAGGATCCACTTACATTATGTAAAACTAATAAGATTTATACTAATTTACAACCTTGAATTTAAATAAATAAATGGACTAGATTTAATGAAATTTTATAATTCGTAAAAAAAAAAATTCCCCTAAACTAATAGTAAAACTTTAACTTTTTTTGTTAGCCGTAAGCTTCATCTCCTTCCCCCTTCCCTTTCTTTCTTTATAATTAATTTTAAGTTATTTTTAGGGTTTAGGGTTTTAGGATTTTTATTACCTACACTATCAATTTTGATATGTTTTAATACTTAAACTTTAATTTTTTTTCAAAACCATACTCAAGTTTAGTTTTTGTTTCGTTTTAGTACTCCGCTGTTAAAAAACTTTATTTTTTTGTTTCATTTTAACATTCTCATTTAAAATTTAACGTTAAGTTTTGAAATTTTTTTAGAAGTTTAAGTGCTAAAACGGACAAGAATTGATAGTTTAAGTACTAAACGCGTTTAGTTTTTACGGTAAGGGTACTAAAATGAAATAAAACATAAACATTAGATATTATTTAGATAATTAAGTGACATAATTTATGAAATTAATAATCAATGGTTAATTAGAACGCCACTGTAACTAAGCGAGTATCGAAGTTTTTTAACCCATTATAAGTTACTCTCTTACTCTTCCTTGGGAAAACCAAAATTATGTTCCGTCTTCTCATCTTATGTCTCGTGTTATAGTGCAAAAATAATATAGACTCGACAGATGGAGAACCATGAGCCTGGAACAGAAAATAACACCTCCGTTGAAAATCTAGACCATCTGGTGAAAGATATTGAATCGACGTTGGAGTTCGTTAAGAGTTCCAAGCTTCCCGCCGCGCAACACTGTATCATCCGCTCTGTAAACCCTTTGCTCCGTCGAGTAAATGAAGCAGCCTACCGACCGCTATTTGTCCTCATCGGCCCCCTTCGTTGTTACACTTCTCTCTTAGAGCCCATGGAATTGCAGAAGCGAATATATCTAGCCTCCTTCCTCCAACGACGTAGGATCGGTGCTAGCTTGAACGAGTTTTGCAAGCCGATCAAAGACTCCTCCCCCGAAATCCGAAGCCGATACGAAGAACCATATTACCGGAGATGCGATTTTAAGGCACACCAAATCCAACAGAACATACCGCCGAGTGACGACAACCTCCGGTGGTTCATAGAGATGGTTTTAGCTGATGCAGCATTCATTATTGAACTCTTCTTGAGAATCTATCACAAGGAAGGTCGGCCGGAATCGGAAACCGATTTCGTCTTTGATAGCCCCGGGAAGATATATGATATCAGACGAGACTTGTTCTTGGCTCACAATCAACTCCCCTTGTTTGTTCTTAAACAAATATATCATCGTGCCTTTGGTAACAATCCCGATCACCCTTCGTTTATTCATCTCAGCTGCAATTTCTTCTACCCTTATTTCAACCAAAACATATCCATCCATGATTTGTTTCAACAAAACCAATCTCATGGTGATTTTATAGCCAAGCTCGATGGTGCTAAGCATTTTACTGATTTGCTTAGAACACTTCAGCTACAACATTCATTTGACAGCCCTGGAAGCAATGGAACCCAAGCTCAAATGGTCTTCATTGCTTTCATCGTGCCAAAAGACAGAGGACAACCCGGATCTAGAGTCGGGGTCGGGTTCAAGGTAAATATTTATACAGTGCAACTCTACTGCGTGCAGCGGGGGTGAAGTTCAGAGTGAGCTCGAGCAAGTGCTTGCTGGACATCAAATTGGATGAGTCGACGGAACCGTTTTTCCGAAACATCATGGGGTGGGAGCAGAGCTATTATCCGGAAGAAACCCTCGTCTGTGACTATGTTTTTCTAATGGAATATCTCATAAAATCTAGTGATGATGTGGATTTACTTGTTCGGAAAAGGATTATCATCAACCAGCTGGGGAGTCACACGGCGGTGGTGACTTTGTTCAATGACCTCTGCAAACATATTCCTCCGGCGGAGAATAACCGTTACTCGGAGACTTTCAGGGACCTCAATGCTTACAACTCAGTTCGATGCCATGGATGGATGGCAAAGCTGAGACTACTCTACTTTTCGTCTTTGTGCAGAAGTGTCGCTACGCTTGCTGCAACTGCGCTCCTTTTGCTCACTCTCACACAAACTATATGTGCTCTCATCGCCCTTTAATTGTAATCACCATTTTTACCTCCCCTATTTAGCAACCAACGACAGCAGCTCCTCCACGTGCATTTCCAGCAGCTTCCAGTGCCAGCATCCCCTCCACGTGCAAATTCCAACAGCTTCCAGCACTGCCAGCAGCCCTTCCACGTCCTCATTCAAACAGCTTCCAGCAAGCATCAACTGCACACCTTATCTCCCCTAAGACGGCCGCCGTCATAGGTGGGTGACTCACCGGGTTACCTTCCTTTAACCGGTCCAAAGGGAGTACGAAGGAGCCTATAAAAAGCCCCATCGACTGAACCTGAAAAAAAGGGAGATCACCAACAACACACAACTACAAAACCGAAACAAAAAAAAAGTGAAGATACCGAGCAGTTTATCCTCGTCGGAGCATCCAAACCGTCATGAACCACCGAAAAACTGAAGGTAAAAATTTAGATCTACGGAGTTTGAGGAATTTTTAGAAAAAAAGGAGTCTGGAATCGGCTATAGGATCTAAAGAGGATTTTTCGGGTGTATTTTTGTAAATTCCGGCCACCATAGACGGTGGCCGACGGCGGCGGTCGGTGCCGGAGTACGACTGCCGGCGGTGGTCGGACTCTCGCCGTTGAAAGAGAGTATTTAAACCCTCATTAAAATTACGTCGTTTTGGGTAAAAGGGTAAACCCTTTCCGCAGTCACTACAATTTGTAATCTAATCATTTTAGTCACTGAAATCAATTTATGTGCCTTTTAGTTTCGACTTTCAATTATACTTTATTATATTTTAGTCACTGCCCGTAGTTATATATTTAGGTTAAATATTATGATTAGTCCCTCATAATTTAGTTAATATTATTTTAATCACTTATTAATAAATAAGGGCTAATTACATTAGTAGTAGTAGTAGTTATATTTATGATTCGAATTATGTCCCTAAATTTTGATATTTTGCATTTTGTTTATGTATTTTAATTTTATTTATTTTAGTCACTAATTATTTGCAATTTATTTTTTTATTATCTTTTTGATTTCAATAAGTTTAAATTATTACTTTAATTATTATGTTATTATTATTTAGTCATAAATATAATAATAATATTTATTTATTTATTTATTTGTTTTCTATTAAAATCCTATTTATGAATTTAAATTTTATAAATTACTTTTAAGAAAAATGTTTATTTATTTTTCAATATTAAGAAGGGGTAGTCTTAAAGCAACTGGATGTCCGTTTTCTGGTATTTTTAAATAAATAAATATTTTAAATTATTATTTTTAGATAAATGTTTTATTAATATTTATTTATTTTTTAATATCGAAGGAAAGAGCTGTCTTAAAGCATCTAGAAGCCCTTTTATGATATTTCTAAGTAAATAAATATCTTATTTATAATATATATATATATATATATATATAAATATATATATTTTTAAATTTGAAATAACAATATTATAAATTAAATATATCTTCAAATTTTTAAATTTCTAAAAATAGAGACAATTTATAATTAATAAGTACCAATTTTGGGCGTTGTGGGGTGCTAATCCTTCCCTAAATGTAAACGACCACGAATCCTTTCTTTACTAATTTTTTTGGTTATACGCATATCAGTTTATCTTTTAAATTAGGTTTTCTTAAAAATTATTTTAAAAGATAATTTTTAGTTATTTGATCTACCTAACCCAAAAAGGTCAATGGCGACTCCCAAAACATTTTTAAATCAAAATCATTTTTTATCCACATTATTTTTCCCGCCAAGTAAAAAATTCTTGCCGAGCAAAAATCGGTTACGACAGCTTGGCGACTCCGCTGGGGACTGGTCATGCTTTGAAATTAATTATAAATTGTCTCTATTAATTAGAAAAAAAATTCATATATTTAATTATAATTCTTTCTTTTCAAAATTTTTATATACTTATTATTTTCATAATATTTATATGTATATTATTTATTTTCAAGTATTAAATTTATTTATTTGTTTGTCAGAGGTTTGAACAGTTCTCCTCACACACAACACTTGCATTGCATAACATAAGCTTTCTAATCAAGCTTGTCCCTTTTTAAGTGGGAGTGAAAGCGACGTCTTCGTGAGAATTTATTCTCTGTGTCAGACCTAGCAAGTAGCTTTCGAGGTTCATATGCTCTATGTCTTCGTGAGAATTTATTCTCTGTGTCAGGCATAGAGAAATGTGTCCCCTCGAATTGAACTCGATCCGTTTAAAGTCTGTAATGGACTAGGATTGAGGGTTGGCAGCCCAAGGGGGCATCAACAAGGACAGTTCGAGTACCTTTACTCCTAGAACTGAAACTTTGCATATAATAAACCCTAGAAACTCTCCCGATCTGAAACCATGCCGAAATTTTGTCCAAAATAGGTGTACACAAAGGAGAAATAAGTTCTAACTTTTGTTTTTTATTGATTTTTTTCCTGAATAAATGCATGTGAATTGGTAATCATGTGGTTAGGTTAATTTTTCCAAACAAAGCATGGAACTAGAAAACATGAGGTTAGGATTTATATACCTTGATAGATAGGATTTTTTCCTCTTTTTATTAATTGGTACTAACCAGTTTATTTTTTTCCTTTCTCTTTTTTATTTTACATTACTCTAACTTGTTTACATTAATTTGTTTTGTTTAAATTGCTTGATCATGACATAACCAAAAGGTGTTTACTTGAAATACAATTCATCAAATTGGAAAGAAATAGTAAATGGACAAAAAGTTTTATGATCAAACAAAATATGATGCGGCCAAGGAAAGATATCCTGAGGAAACTCTGAGGATAGAAGCAAGCAATGCACACAAAGAGCCTGTTATATTAATACCAAAAGTACTCCACAAAGATCCTGCCAGATTGATACCAAAAGCAGTCTACAATAAGAGTATCAGTTGGGACACGCAGAATAGAGGAGGTTTTTATGAAGCTCAAGCATGTTGTTTAAATGATCAAAACAAGAAATTGAGCACAAAAATGGAAGCCATGCATGAAGATTTCCAGAAGATCAGTCAAGCCTTTCGAAATGCTGGCATAGGAAACACCCCAGAAGAGTGGATCACAGGGGTCACCAAGCTAAAAAAGAACTGCAACATATATGAAGATCTTGTTCAAGAACTTCTTGGACAGAAAGGTTCTCTTACAAGGGAAAATGAGCAACTCCGAGAAATGACACAAAGATGAAAGAGAATGTCATGGAAGAAGTTGCAGTTCAGACAAATAATATGGTTCTTAAGTGATAGATTTAGCTGATTTTACAAGGAGATGAAGTAGACTGAAGACTCAACTTTTTGAGCATGAATGGAAACTAACTGGGCTTTGGAGAAGTTAGGAGTGAAAGATATCCTTATATGTAAAGTTTTGTTTGATGTACCGAAACTTTTGTGTTCAATGAAATATGTTCTAAGATGATCACTCTTGAGTAAACACCTTTTCATACATGCATTTGCATTTTGCATCTTTGCATTTTTCATTGTGCATTTATACTTTTATATTTGCTTTTGTACTATACAATTTGCATTTTTATTGTTACATTCATATATTTACATTTGCATTTACATTTGTATTTTTTACATTTGTATTTACATTTTCATTTTTACATAATTACATTTGGTTTTAAACTATTTTACATACATTTAAACATGAAAACATGAGAGTACTTCATGGAGGATTCCATGACAGAATTTCTGAAATCAAAGTGGAGCTAACTTGGTCTTCCTAAACAAGGATAAGAACCATGAATGAGATTTTAGCAAGGGTTAGTAGAATTGAGAAACTACAAGAGCAACTTATCAAGACTCAACAAGAGATGATTGATCAAGTAAAAAAATCCCATAATGATTCAAAAGAGCAAATGACAAAACTGATGGACCTGATAAATGTTGTACTCCATGGAGAGAAACCCTTAAAGGATCCCGCTGTGAAGGCTATGAATAAGGTTCTGAATGATAATGATGAGCTCGATGTGATAGTGTCTGATGATCAAGAACCTATTAGAGAGCATGGTAATTCAAGACAGATTCAAGATTTGGTCCCAAGGGGCAATCTAAGGAGTCTGGTGAACACTACCCCAATTATAGCTGAAATGAGCACCCAGAACCCCCTCGATAACATGAGAGCATTCAGTCGTTCAGAACGATCAAAGAAGGTGATAGCCTCGCGAACGAGAAAAACTCTGAAGCTGTTTCAAGAATCTATCTCAGACCTGTACCCTCATTTGGTTAAAGGTCAATATATTACACCAAGATTGGTGAAGGTGTCACCAAATCCTTATGCCCATTGCTATGACCAAAATAGCTTCTGTAATTTTCACTTGGGGGTATCTAGACATTCAACATGGAATTGTTGGTCACTGTTAAAGGAAATAGAGACGCTCGTCGACAAGGGAGTCTTGACACAAGAAATGATCAAGAAATGGGGGGCAAATAAGGATAAAAATCCTGGGCTAAGTACACACCCAACATTAGAGGAGTAATGATGCATAAACAAGTGGAAGTGTTATCTACCACTGTAGTACTTTCTATTTTCAGCATCTTGTTTGAACTTGTTTTTTGTTTCTTTTCTCCGCTTTTGTGCAATAAATAAATGTGTGTTGCTTTTATGGTTATGAGCAAGAAATCAATTTTTAATCTTGAGATTATTGAGTATCAAGTAGATTAAATATTCTTTTAATTTTTCAAGAATTATATATCTTTGGCAAGTGATAAAATTATACCTTCCATCCAATGCCAATTACTTGATCCTTACTAAAACCAAATTTTGACCGTACATTTATCTGAGACTCTGAAGAAATGTTTCTACCTGTTTTTGAGACACCAACTCTAGATGTTTACCCCATTTTCATCAAGAATAATAGTTTATTCTCCTCATCAGAATCAGAATTCAGGATTTCCTCAATATCAGAAGAACTATCAATATCTGTGAAATCATCTTGAAAGATCGCTTCATAATCAGATGAGTAGTTATCAGAATTAACATGTTGCATGAAAAAGTATATTCCAGAAATAGTCTTCACTGAAAACAAGGTTCACTATGTTAGCCTGGAATGAATTACCAAGCGATTTATACCACTCTGTCCGACTAAAATCCC